TGCCCTAAAATTTCTCCATGTTCCACCTATTCATTCATTCCTTCCCCCTCCCACAAAACCTGGCAACCTTTTTATTGTCTCCATAGTTTTGCCTTTTTCAGAACGTCATGCAATTGGAATTATACAGTACGTAGTTTTTTCAAATTGGCCTCTTTCACTCAGTATTGTGCATTTAAGATTCCTTCATGTTTTTTCATGGCCTGATAGACCACAGTTTATTTATCCATTCACCTACTAATGGACATCTTGGCTGCTTCCAAGTTTTGGCAATTATGAACAAAGTTGCTATAAACATCTGTATGCAGGTTTTGTTGTGCACTTAAATTTTTAGCTCCTTTGTGTAAATACCAAGGAATATTGCTGGATCATATAGTGAGTATGTTTAATTTTATTAGAAACCACAGTCTTCCAAAGTAGCTTTGGCATTTTGCATTGCCACTAGTTATAAATGAGAACTCCTGTGGCTCTACTCGCTGGTCCGTACTTGAACCTTGAGTGTAGTGGTATCCCATTTTTTCACTGAGAAGCCCCTTCACGAGTATTATTTTTTAAAGATGCATAGTATTCTAACATAAGGAGGTCATAGAGCACAAAGTATTTAACCTATCCCTTATTATTATCTGTTTAGGTTTTTTCTAATATTCACTATTATCAGTAACATTTGATGAATGTTTTTGTACATATATCTTTATTTACACCTGATTACTTATTTTCCTTGGATATATTCTTTACAAGTGGAAATGACTCAGGAGAGCACAAACATTTTTCAGGCTTCCAGCAAAGGTGCTATCACTTTATATTCCTATCTACAGTGGGGGGGGGGGACTCCCTTGCCAGCAGCAGGTATTACCAGTTGCTCTAAAGCTTTGCCAAATCAATAGGTTAAAAAATTAGAACTCATTATCTCAATCTGCAAATCTTTGGTTACTTAAGTTTAATGTACAGAACAGGTATCTCATGCTTCTTAGTCACTTGTATTTCCCAGTGAGTTGTCTGTTACTGTCCTTTGCCAGGCTGACTTTGTTAATAGCAGCCCCGATAATCCTCAAGTTTTCTGCCGATGATGCCAGACCTTGCATTTAGCCACAACTGATTTGAGGCTAAGCTCCGGCAGGATTAGAAATAGTCCATGTCAGCACTGTTACTTCAATGAAACCAGAAAGGGGAAAGTTTCTGTGTCTTACTGGAATGTGGAGATGAAGTTATTTTGCTGAGCCACATCTATTATGTTGTTATGCCTTCTTTTCTTGTGCCCAAAGCCCCTCTTTTCTTGAATTCTGCCCTAGCAGGAGGGCTCAGTTCTGTGTGCATTCTTTCTTTCAGTGTGTTCATCCACCTCCTACTACATGATGCACAGCTGCCACATCACAGGACTGTGATGTCTGGAGAAGGGACTGGGCTTTGAAGTTGGGCGGATCTTGGGCAGGTCCCTTAAACCCTCAGAGGCTCAGTTCCCCCTCTTTCAAGTCTGGGCGATAGCTCTAGCTTTGGGGAATACATGCGTTATGGATGCAAAACTCCTGGAACAGGGTCTGCCCCATAATGAGATTCCATTTAGCTCAATAAACATTTTTTGAGCCACTTCTGCATATTTGCTAGGTGCTGAGTACACAGGAGGAATCAGAGGGGACCCTCTGGTAGTGTCTGCATTGCCTACAGGAGAAAGGTCAGGCTGTGCATGGACTTGGACAAGGCCCCCTCCGACCCCTGCTTCTCTCCTCCCCCTCCCCCCACTCTGGCATCATTAAGGCCTGTGGCCCCAGGTGTCATGGGTGGGTTGACAGCTCTCTTTAGAGCCCTGGGTCTTAGCTGCAATTCTGGGGCAATGGGAAAAGTGCCAGTTAACATTGTATTACACAAAAAGTCACGACTATAATTTTTATTTTCTCTTTTCTTCTTAACATTTTATTATAAGTACTTCCCCTTTATAGCACAGTTGTTAAGGGAATTAGTAGACGCAGCCATCCTTACTAAGTGACCTTGGGCAAATGGCTTAACCTCTCCGTGCTCCAGTTTCCTTATCAGTGAAGTAGGAATAATAATAATAATAACAATACCTACTTCCTGAGCTTCTGCTTAGGAGTAAACAAAATATTTCATGTATAGCACTTAGTATAATGTTCAGCACATAGTAAGAGATCGATGCTCTAGTATTACTAGTTGTTATAGTGTCTTCTTAGCCACCCTTATGATGAGTTTGTATGGTTAAATTGAATAATTATAATATCTTTTTCCGATGTTGGATATGGTGTTTCTGATTTTTAAACACAAATTAAAGTATTATCCCTAAGGAATTTTTATAAAGTCATCTTGCAGTTTAGAGATAAAGGCAGAACAAAAGATTTAAGAATTATATGTGGGATGAATAACATTAACACATTTAAGTTGCCTTGAAAAAAATTTAATATTTGTATACATATTACAGGATAATCAACCCATCTGATAAGCAGGGATGATCCCTGTCTGAGGTACAGAGCTGGCCTGAATCACCTGGGCAAGGTCTTCCAGTTTTTCTCCAGGCAAAGAAGTTGCATCAGCTCTTCCACTGCCAGAGAATCTCTGACGTAGCACAGCTGAAGGTCATCCTGGCTTTTCCAGCCACCGATTAGGGATATCTGGCAGGGCAATTGTCAAGCCTTGTCTGCTGATGGGGAAGTTACAGGACAGGGGTTTCTGCCGTGGTCCTTTAGCCAACAAGACTCAAAGTTCACACTGGCATAGATGAAAGACAAACCTACACAGATCTAGCACCTTCCATGTGCCAGGCTCTGTAAAAACATTCTCTACCATCTTCAGCTAAATTAATTAAGACGGGATTTACTGGCCCTATTTTATAGGTGAGAAAACTGAGGCTCACAGAGGTGCAAAGTCTCTTCCAAGGTTACACAGCTGGCAGAGTGATGACCCAGATCTGCCTGACTCTAAAGACACACACTCTTCCCGTGGCACGCTGGATTTCTTTTCGTTTTAATTCAAGTTAACCAGCAGGGATTAGCACTCACATGTATTACCCCTGCTAGCCTGAGAACAGAGAGAACAGCCTAACAAGAGAGACAGACATAAATCACAAGTTCTAGTTGTTTGAATAGTAGGCAGATGCATGCCTGTGAGAATAAAGCCATGTGGGCAGTTCAATTTATCTTGTGTATATTTCTGAAAGCCATCCTTAATCCTTTTAGGAAGAGATAGATGGATAGATCAGGGTTGTAATCAATGAATAAACAAAGGGCGGTGAAAAATTGGGGATGGAGAGATTAATTTCCAGTCAAAGACCCTGGAAAGTCTCAGGGGACGTGGTATTTTGGTTGGGTTTGAGAATGAGGAAGAAACAGCAAAAGAATTTTGGGAAGGGGCATGACCTGTTTACCCCAAGAGAGGCAAAAACAATCTTGATTTGTGTTTGCTAAATATTGGTCTGAAACCAGAACACCAACACACACCTCTCTTATTTCGCCCCTCCCCCTTACATACATAGACGAACCTACCAAGACACACCCATAGAGACTCACGAAGGCAAAAAACGAAACAACCGACAGAGAACACACATAATGTACACAGATAGATACTAGCTCCCATATAAGCTCACACAAATATGGATAATGCTCATATACACAGATTCACAACATGTTTATGTTTTCATGCACAAGCACGTACATATTCTCTCTCCACCCACTATTCTTGTAGGTAAATAAATGCATTTTTTTTCATTAACATATACACAAGTTCACACGCAAATCTCATCCTGCCCTTCTGGTTGGAGGCCAGTGACTAATGGGCAGCCATGCACAAAAGCAAGCATCACACACAGCGGGGGCCGGGAATGGGGTTGGCGGTGGGGCTGGGATTAAGCCCTGTCAGATGACAAACGCGCCCCGCCCGGCTCCCTCTGAAAGCTGCTGAGCCGAGGCTGCAGCGCCTGAGCAAGCTCTGGAACCTGGGTGGATGGGACGAGGCCGCGCGCCAGAATCCAGCCTCACAGGCTTTAGTGTCACTCAGGGTCAAGTTCTGCTATCAGACCCACCCCAATCCCTGCAATGGGCGGGCGGCTCCCGTGACACAACAGGGCTGTGGCGTGCGGCTTGTTTTAGCAGCACAGCACCCGGGGAGTACCGGGAGTTAGCATTAACACGGGTTACTGGGGGCCAGGCACTGGGGTAAGCGCTTTTAGAATGTAATTCTCACAACAGCTCTGTGGGTGGAGGGTAGGGTGAAGTGGGGGTGGGTCAGGCGTGTAACATCTTCTATTTAGAGGTGAGAAAACTGCGCTCAGGCCACTAAACCACTGAGCAGGCGACAGGGGGCTGAGGTTTCATCAGTTAGGTCCTATTTTCCCCGGGGTTTCTGGTAAAGTGTGTGTGATCTTGTCTCCCCAACGCAGGAAGCTCGCACTTTCCGCTCCTGATGGGTCTCCAGACACCCCGTCCTGTTCGACAGAGAGCCTGGCCCACAGCAGGTGCCTGGGGAGGGCGTGGGTCTTAGTTCAATAATGCCCTCAGTTTCCCCATCTCTGAAATGGGAATGGCAGCGCAGACGTCGTAGGGCCAAGATCACGCTCTGTTGGGCAGCAGAGGCAATGCCGAACTCTGCATCCTTGCTGCTGCAGCCCTCGCCCATCGCGGGGGTTCCAGCCCGGTTCGCACCCGAGTGCGGCGCCGGCGCCCCATTGTTCACGAGGGCAGGCAAGCTCCCGAGATCCTATTCCCCGACCCGGGTCGTGCTCGCCGCTCAACGGAGCAGAAGACTTGGCCCGGTGTCTGCCGCGCGGGGCGCGTCCTTTGTCTGCTCCGCGGCGTCCGGTGCCCGAGGCCCGCGCCCCGTTTCTTGGGTAGACAAAGCCCGGGATGCCGCGAGCCGGACCTACAGGAGCAGGGCTCGCACCACCCTCCTCCCGCCTTAGCACCGCCCCCTCCCCTTGACGCCCTCTGATTGGTCCGAGAGGCTACAAAGAGGCAGGGGAGCGACTGGGTCACGTGGGCAAGCGCGGCTTCTCATTGCTCCGGCGAGGCTGCCAATCGGAGAGGGCGGGCTGTCCGCGCCCGGCCCGGTCGTTCCCTCCGAGCTGGGGCCCGCCCGCGGGGCCGGCCGCCTGTCAGAGGGAGGTGGCGATGGTGCGCCCGGTGGCGGTGACGGCTGCGGCGGCTTCCCCGGCCCGAGTGCAGGGAGGAGAAGATGACTGACCAGCCGACTGACTGAATGAATGAATGGCGGAGCCGAGCGCGCCATGAGGAGCCTGCCGAGCCTGGGCGGCCTCGCCCTGTTGTGCTGCGCCGCCGCCGCCGCCGCCTCAGCCGCCTCAGCCGCCGCGGCGGGGAATGTCACCGGCGGCGGCGGGGCCGCGGGGCAGGTGGACGCGTCGCCGAGCCCGTGGCCGGAAGGCGAGCCCACTCGCCCTTTCTCTGAGGCGACCGCTCCCACGACGCAGGCCCCGAAGACCGGACCCCCGCGCGCTACCGTCCTCCGACCCCCGACCGCGTCCTCTCCAGCCCAGTCCCCGGAGACCGCCCGTCCTCGGGCGACGGCCGGACCCGCTCTCGCCACCGTCCAGGCGCCGCCGGGCCCCTCCCCGACCGCCGCTCCCGCGGCCGAACGCACTCCGACCGGCCCTCCGGCGACCACGAGACCCGCGCCCACCGGCCTCCCGACGACCCCCGGCCCGGCGCCGACCACCCCGGCGGCGACCACCGTCCCGGCGCCCACCACGCCGCCGACCCCGACCCCGACCCCCGTTCTCCCGCGGAGCAGCGGCAGCGGCAGCAGCGTCCCGCCCACCCCACCTGCCGCCGAGGCCCCCACCTCGCCTCCCCCAGGTGAGTCCCCGCGCCTCCCCGCCGGGCCGCCCATCCTTTCCCCGGCGCCCGGCCCCTGGGGCTCGGCTCCAGGCTGCAGTGGGTCCTTTCTCGTCCCGGGGGGTCCCCAGGTTTCGACCCCCCCCCCCGCCGTGGGAGGGCCAGGCTCCGGCGAGCCGGCTTCCCACCCGCGTCCGGAGAGTCTTTTGTGCCCCCCGGGCCGGGCGTCCTGCGGGGAGGGAGCCGCGGGGCGCGGGGCGTCGCGCCTCCTGCCCCCCGGGGCTCCCCGGCCTTTGTCCGGCGCCCGCGGCTCCCGCCGCTCCGCCGCGTCTCGGGGGGAGGTTGGGAGGGCAGCGCAGGGCCCCCTGCAACCGACGGGCCGAAAGCTGAGCGCGAGGGATTCCTCCCGACGCTCCGGTGTCCTGCTCGTTTCTCCTCGTTTATATAAATATCAGAAGTGCATGTGACAGGTGGAAGGGATATTGAAAGCATTTTGTTTACAAAGTAGCGCAGAGCGCTTGGGACCAAAAGAAAAAGGGAAACATTGTAATGCGTGTCTCCCCGCAATAAGTGGATGCAGTCGGTCATTTGGGACAGGTGTGTATCTAGGTTGAGTACATTTATAAATTAGGTTAAATCCCTTCCTAGCACCATTTTTTCCCCCCGGTCCCTCAATTACAAGGTCAATATGTTTGGACAAATACACAATTTAAGCAGGGATGCCCTTGCCCTCCCCCGCCCTTTTTCTCTCTTAGTCGAGAATATTAGATTTTGCTAATGCTGATAGATGCCCATTTCTGTTTGAGTCCGCATAGAAAATAAGGTGCTTCTTCCTGCTGGTTGAAGTCTTCAAGCAAAGTCAGAGACAACTCCTATTCTCTTCCCTTTTCGAGCCGAAATGGACTGGAACTAAACATACAAAACCTACCTTGTCCAAACCGTTTGCCTAGATGTACTTAACATTAATGGATCTCTGACCTAATTCTTGTGCTCAGTGATCTATCGCGGAGTCAGGTATGGACTTTGGACTGTAACTGAGTTTGTAGAGCATTTCACCACATGACTATTAGTCTTAACAGTCTTGAATCTTGGGTTCAAGCTTGGCATTGGCTTTAGTAGGAATGCAGATTATTCAGTCATAAAAAGCTGAGTTTGCATCTCTTCTAGCTGGATTTTGACCGCAACCTTTTTTGGCCTTGTACGTAGAGACTGACCTATTACTGAGAGACAGGAAGCATAGTGTTTGAGGATATGAACTCCGGAGCGCTCGCTTAGTTTTGAATCCCAGTTCTGCCCCTTATTAACTGTATAATCTTGGGCAGGTCTCTCAACCTTTCTTCATCTGTGAAGTGAAAGTAATAATAGTCCTCACTTCATAGGATTGCTGTGAAGATTATATATGACTAGGCTTTTTTTTGGGGGGGGCAGTGGATAGTAAGCATTTGAGGAACCTAGTAGGGACTTGTGGTGGTTTTTATTTGTTTTAGTAAAGCATAATAGAAAAAGGATGAATTAGGTGTTCTGGCATTGGAAGCACACAGTAGCATTTAAGTAGCAAGCTCACTTATTGAATGGTTAGTTTATGATAAATAAGTCTGTGATTGATATGTTTTATTTTTATTACTATTGTGTTGTTATTTTTAAATTACAAAGTAACCATTACTTGCAAAAAAAATTACAATCAACCAGAAGTCCTCAAAGGAGCAACTGAAAGTCACTCACTCCTTTACTGCCTCCACGTTCCAGTCAGTCCCTAGAGGTTTCTGTACTGTTAACAGTTTGATCTCTTTTCAGACATTTTTCTGGGCGGATATGAACATGCACATGGGTTTTTTAAAATAGTTTTTAAAAACTCAGCATGAAATAATCATATATTGCTTTGCAACTTGCTATGTACACTTAACTGTGTATCATGCCCCCCCCCCCCGTTAGTACCTAAGGTCTACCTTACTATAATTTTTTTTACAGTTGCATTTCTTGTTGTAGGACTATATCATATTTTAACCAATCTCTTATTATGGACACTTAGATTGCTTCTGCACTTCGCTTTAAAAAGCACAGGGAAGAATGTGTTCTTGTCGAGTCCATCATATATATTATATTCTCTAATACTTTGGCTGAAGTTCATACACTCCAAATGAATTTTAGATAAAATAAAGCTAGATTGATTATATTTGCAACCCAAACTTTTCAAGGCTTTTCATGGATTAAAATATACTTCCATCTGCAGGGGTCTGGGTTTCAAATGTTTTAGGAGGATGCCCAACTTTGGAAGCTCTGTGTTTTAAATCTTCTGTAGTTTGTACTTTCTTGTGAATTCACCATGGACTGCCTCTGTCTAGTTCTCAGCATTTTAATAGGCAGTTGTAGCTTTGCAGTGATATAATCAGGTGTGACCTTTTTATCTGAACATGGGTTCTAGTTGACTTCAAACAGTAAACACATCCCTCTGACCCAAGGAGAACTTCTGCCTGAATTGGAGAGACCTAGTCTGGCGTGCAAAGTTGGATTCTTGGCGTCTGGGAAGGTGGATGTACAGAGCATTTTATTTTAATGTTCCTCTAAGGACTGAGAATGTTTGATAATGTATTATGTGATGGGATGTGTCTTCCAGCTGCCCTTTGAATTAATAAGAATTTCTTTTGTGAAGGTTTAGCTGAGAGCTCTTGCCTGCCCCTCAATCATGGCCCTCTTTTATTTACAGGGACAACTGATCACAAACTGAAACTAATTGCCTGGCAAGTAGGCACTTTCCCCTCCTGCAGACCTGGCAAAACATTTGGCTGATTGGTTGGCTGGGTAGGACATTTTAAGGAGGATGAAGGGAGAGGCTGTGATACTATAGAATAATAGTTATATCAGCAGTAAGAGACTAAGGTGATGACAGGTGTTTGATTTTTAAAGTTATAGGCCTTTAATGCATCTATTTGACAGAACTGGATTCTCTACTATTAAGGTTCTAGTGGAGATGCAAGGGTAAAAAAGGATCCTGTGCTTTCTGCTTGTCTGATTGTGACAGCCAAGACTGAATGGGGGACTACAGGAGAAAAAAATATGGACCTTTAGGGCCACACAAAACATTAACACTACCTTCTTCCGTGCCTCTGCATTTTAGGAAATACTTCCATAGACTTAGCTGAAATATTTCTCCCTGTAGTTACACAGACTGGTTCTGGTTCTGCCCTTTGGGGCCATGCAGAATAAGTCTGCTCTCTCTGTGCCATGACAGTTCTTCAGGGATTTGGGGACAGTGATCATGTTCCCTCTGAGTCTGGACTAAATACCTTCGGCTCCCTCAACTGTTCTTTATGTGACATGGTTTCAGATTCCCTCGCTACCCTGGTCATCCTTCTTCTGGACTTTTTCAGTCTTTCTGTGTCTCTCCCAAAGGGTGGAACACAGAGTTGAACGTAATGCTGCAGATGAGCTCCAACTAGCTGTAGCAGAGAGGGCATTACCTCGTTCTTTCTGGATGCTGTTCTGCGGTTGATGTAGTTGTTTCTAATCAGTAGCTTTTTTGGCAGCCATACTATGTTGTTGACTCATCGAGTCCATTAAGATAGTTGTCTTTGTTTTGTTTTGTTTTTCTGTTTTAACGTGCTAGATGAGCCTTCCTTTATCCTGGATTTGGAAATTCTTCTTATTTTTTAAAGTATAAGCTGAAGCATTTGCTAAACATAAGTAAAAGTATAAGCTAAAGTATAAGTAAAGCATTTGCCAAACATTTAAGATTTATTATGCTAGGTTCAACCATCCTTTTTAGATCCCAGGTCTGTCAGTAGACCCCGCCCAGTTTATTCATGTTCATCTACAGGGTGTTCCTATAGTCAGACTCTGAGGACAAGTTAGAGCAGGTTATTCTTGCCTCACAGGGCAGAATAAATTTAGGGATGTTAAACAGTTTGGAAGGAAAGGAGAAATAGTTTAGATTAGTTCTCAAGGGTCTCTTCCAGCTCTACAGTTTTGTGATGATTTGGTATGCATGATTTCAGGACATGTTAATGTCCCCCAAAGAGCCTTAATCATCTATTTGTAATCAAAGTGAAGAGAATAGGCTTTGTTTAAGCAAGCGCTAAATTTAGAGTTTGGAAATCTGACTTCAATGACCTGTATATAAAATATTACAACTGGGTTTTGTTTGAAAGGGACATTCTGGGAATGTGGGACCCATCTCACTGTACTGGGAAATATTTTCTTCATCCTAAAATTAGCTACTGCTAGGTTCAGGGTCTTATTTGCTTGTAGTTAGTTAAGAAGATGCCATTCATTTTAAGGAAATAGAAATTATTCAGGCTTCGAAGGTAATGTAGATCCATAATCTTATCCATGTGGGGCTGGATGTGTTTCACAATTTAGAACTTTTCAGGTTTTAGGAAGTTAATAAGTATACCACAGTGAAGTTTGGGGCAGCATATACAAACACATACAAATATTTGCATCAAAATGCATATATGTTCACACTGAGTGGGATGAATAAAGACTATAAATAGCCTTGCATTTGTTCAGCTCAGGTTTTGCTGCTAAATGAGTGATAGAAAAAAAATTGGTGTTTGGAGTTCCTGGTATTTAGCATCAGGTTTGAGGGATTGTGGAGCACTGTAATAGTAATTGCAAATACATATAGTACTTACTACGTTAAAGTCAATGTTCTCGTTGCTTCATGTATATGAATGTTTAATCTTCATAATTAGCTATAATCAAGTTATTATTATTTTCACTGGATCGATAAGGAAACCGAAATTCAGAGCAGCTCAGCTGTGGCAGAGCCTGGATTCAGACCTAGTCATTCTGGTCCCAGAATCTGTATCGTTGGCATTTAGAGAAGTAGTTACACAGTAGAGAAGAGATGGAAACCATTTTGCTAAAATTATTGGTTCTTGGATACTAATCTGAAAAAATTTCCACTCTTCTTTGGCAGTTCCTGCCTTCACTCCATTGTGCACTATTCATTCACCTTCTCAAATTTTCTGTTTTACAGCTGTGATTTTAAGTTATAGCTCTAATTCTTCCTTTGATTTGGT